CAATTCTTGCAGGAAAAGACTCAGAGCCAGCTGCATGCCGTCACCCAGGGGTGAGCCAGTCACCCAAAGGGGAACAGCTAACACAAGTGTGCCTGTGAATATTTGTGGTGAAAGAAAGAGGAAGGTGGGGGAGGGACAGGAGCTGCAGGAGCAGCTCAGGCAGCAGCCACAGGGAGAAAAATTAGGTTATCTTTGGAAAAGATGTGTCAGGGAGGCAGGCAAGGGAAGGAGGAGATGGCAGGCGAGGACAACTCCTATCAGGGGAGACAACGTGGGGACGTGAATGAGATGCTGCCAGCACTGGGGACCAGAGATTGTCCCTTGTTTTGCCACCAAGTAGCAGTCCCTGGGCTGCGTCCTCCATTCCATCTCTTCCCAGTCTCACCAGCTGTCCCAGTGACTCTCCCAGCACAGCAGAGCCCCTGGCATGGAGCAGTTGCATCACTGTCCCAGCAGGGCAAGGGTGACATCCTGCTGGTGCCAGCACCGACCCAAAGCCTCCCCCAGGGCTGGGGCACATGAGTGCTGTGGGGTGCCCAGTGCCATCTCCCCACCCAGCACAGGACTGTGGTCACTGGGGATGCTCAAGGACTGTACCCTCTGGTCCCTGGGGACTAACAAAGCTCTTTCCATGTCACCATGAACACAGTGTGAGCCCAGCTCTCCAAGCAAGTGCTCCAGCCACCACTGGCTGTTGTCCTCGACAAGAYGTGCTGGGACCAGCACACTCCTGGGAAGGGATCGAGCATCTGCTTTCCTGCCAAAACCCTGCCACAAAGACCCTCCTGACACTGCCAAATGCAACTGCCACTTGAGAAGTGAGGGGCTCACACTGCCAYCCTGCACCATGCACGGAAGGGAAGGGAGAAAAGGATCCAGCACAGGCATTGGGAATGCTCAGCCCTGATTCACCCCAGCAGAGGGGACAGGGACTGCTCCCCACATCGCTGTGACAGTGGCCTACAGCCTGAGATGGCAGCTCTRTGCTGGCTCTGCCAGGCGCTGGCACAGGGGCTGCCACGCTCACCYGGCCTGACAAAGCCCCAGCTGCAAGAGCTCCCCAAAAGGAGAAGCCAAGCCCGGGAAAGGGACCCGCAGCTGCAGGGACAAGTCACAGTSGCTCACTGTTGGCTTTAAAGGCTTTGTGACAAAGAAGGAACGTCAATTAGACAATCCCGGATTATCTGCTGGGCTGGGCTGCCGGAGCCCGGCGGCACCATGGCCACCAGCGGCCTGTCCACCCTCTGCTGCTCTGCTTCTTGACAGGGATCTTGAGCACAGACCGGTTTCTGTTCTGCCTCAGGACAAAAACAGCCCCGAGGCTTTGAGATGAGCAGCAGGGGTCCCAGGGAATCCCGACCAGGCTGTTCCAGGGACAGCCAGAGACTGTCCTGTGACAGGGCACCACTGCAGACGTGTTTAAGAAAACCCCTCAGGTGTAAAACCCYCCAGGGATGAACCACCTGTGCTGGCAGACAGCCCTGCAAGGGCTGTGATGCATCCGGGGTGACAAACTCAGTGGAAACCCACCACCAGCACTGCCACCCCCTGCCCCCGCAGTGCCACAGCTCTGGGGACACCAGCACGACCCCCACAAGACAAATTCAGCCTGGAGAGCTGGCTTGTGGCATTTTCCTTGGGTGCTTTCATAGGAAAAGAAGGCATTATGGATTGCAGGTGAGCAGGCGCAGCGATCGTGGCTGGAATACAACTGCAATCCTGCTACAGCACTGACCATTCCAGCTCTCATCTGCCATGTGGCTTTCCCAGGCAGCAGCTGAGCAGGGCAGGGAGCAGGAACCTTGGAAAAAACCCAGGCAAACCTCGCGTTTGCTGGAAGGAAGCCTGGGCTTGCCCTGCTAAGAGCTGCTGCTTGTTTATCCCTTGGGTTGTAGCAACCGTTATTTTAGGGGAAAGCCGTGTCCAGAGTGTCCAGCCCAGGCAAAACCTGGAGGAACAGCCATGGACTGGGGCTGGGGGGATTTGCAGCACGGGGGGGTTGGGAAGGCAGTCCCTGTCTTCGCTCCAGATGCAGGAATTCACCCACATCCCACAATGCCAATAAATCCCCTGAGTGGATGCAGCCTGGCAGGCACGCAGCCTGCCCCAGTTTGCCCCACCGAGGCAAGCCATGCTGCTAAGCCACGGTAAAGGGATTAGGGCTGGGGAGTGGAAAAATGCCAGCCAACTGGAAGAGAGCCTGGAGGACAGAGCTGATCTGCTAAGGCAGCATGTGGGGCGTGCTGGGGTCCCCTCACAGCTTCGGGGGGTCATTACAGCCACCGAGCCTCACCCTTGGCATCTGCACATTTTCTGGAGCTGATGCCCAACTAAGCAAAAAATTCGTTTGGATAAAGGTGAGAGCAGAGCCAGGAGCCTGGAGGAATCCCACAGAACCATCCCAGATCCAGGGGTGACACTGTGAGCACGGGCCATTGTAATCGATGTTAAATGGAGTGTGAAATGATGACAGGTGGGCAACACCGAGGAGGAGATAAATGACTTCTCTCCAACACAAATACCCCTGGGGGCTGCCCTGAGGGGCCACCTGTCCTATAAAACAGGGTGCCCATCCCTAGGCAGAGTCCAGCCTCTCAGCACCCATRGGCTGCTCCCCTGCTTTGTCTTCCAGGATCACCCAGCACTGCATCCCGCTCATCGCTCATTGCATCTCTGCAGATTTCTCCATGTTTTTACACCAGAAATCGCCTCTTTTGGAAAAAAAAACGCTGGGAATCTGCAGTCCAGGGAGACTCATTTGAATGCCCCAGGGATTGTGTGCAGAAGCAAACACCCCGTTTTGTGTCTGCAGGAGCCAGGTTACGCTCGGTGGAGGAGCTCAAGAGACACCTTCAGCCTCCGCACAAACCTCGGAGACAGTGKCTCTCCCGGGGGAGATCATTAAGGAAACTAAGAAGTGGAAAGGTGGATGCAAACTGCCTGTTTCCAGTTCAGGAAGGAGAAACCATGMGTTTTTAGAGCAGGAGGCAACAGCTGTGTCCACACGTCCACTTGAAGGACATCAGCTCTTTGAGGAAGGGCTGGGCTTTAGGGTGATGATCCTGAGCGATGGCAGGGCAGGAGAGGGACCAGTGGAGATGGCAGAGCACACCTCAGAATGCAAACCAGAGGTGCAGAAGCAGAATTAAACCCTTGGATCTCCTGCACAAGGAGAGCTACACACTGACTTTGGTGCATGCAAGAATGCAGCAAGCTCCGAGCAGAGCAGGGGACTCACACTGAGCAGCACCAGCAGCTCCCCAGCAGGACCTGCTATCTCCAAGAAGCAGAAACCAGCCGGGGACACAAACCAGGCTCATGCAAATGCAGCCACGGCCGGTGGTGCTGCTGGCAGTGCACAMCCCTCTCTTCGGCAGTGCCAGGCTCTGGGGCACAGCCAAGGGGATGGGCAGCCTTTTGGGGGGCACACCCTGTGGCTGCACCCCCAAACCTCAGCAGAGGAGGAGGAGGAGGAGGAAGGGTGGGAGTGCCTGGCAGTGTGCAGTGCTGTCTTTGTGCGGGGCTGGGGCCGCGCTGGCAGCGGGTGCGCCTGCGGCTCGCCGCGCACAGGGGGATTACCGTGCAGGAGAGCAACAAGCACGGCTTCCTCCCAGATTACAGCACAAAAGCAGCAGCTTTCAATTAACTCCGAGCGCCCGGCAGGCAGCACGGGGAATTATGCTAGAATTTGCTGGGGAAAAAATAAAATCAGAGGGGATTTTGAAAGGAAACAGATCAGGGTGCTCAGGCATGTCCTCTGCCAGAATGGGGATCCCAGAAAATGCAGCGCACCACAAGCCTGTGCCAGGGTGGAAAGGGTGGAAGGATGGGCAAGACACACCCCTGTCACACACAGGGTATTTTTGGGTGCATTCACAGCAGCTCTAGCTCAGCTCTGACGGCAAACACCGACCATCCTTCCCTCCATGTCATGCTGGAGCTCAATGCAGCAGCCTGTGTGCTGATCCCTGCCCCTGGCTGGCATGGCAGCTCCCCCTTGGCAATGGCAGTGAGGGGAAAATCAACATTTCTCAGCTTTACACCTGCCCCCATAAATTACCAGGCAAACAGCTGGGGGCTCTCTGCAGCCCRACCCGTGCTGTGCACTCTCCAGAAAGGCAAGAGGCTGCAAAGCCCGTTCCAGGGTGGYTGAGTGGGGTCATACACGGCAGAGCCCTGTGCCCCAGCTCTGCAGGTGTCACTGGTGCTCCCAGGCATGGTCCCTGCCCCCATGGCCAGGCAGGGTCTGGGCAGCAGCAGAGCAGGGACCCAGTGCMAACCAGGCTGCCCAGACACAGCCCCAATGCCCCTCTGGGACACTCTCAGAGATCCCTGCTGGTGGCATGACTGCCTCGGGGGAAACGAGGCACTCAGCCACTCTAAATGTTTCTCCAGAGAGCAGGGAAATGCATGCAAACCCCAGGGGATGTGGGATGGCTCAGGGCAGGGWGCAGGGAAGGGCAGGCAGGGCTGAGCTCCCAGCCTTACACGGCTCTAGGCTGAGCCCCTTCCCGCGGAGAGKAGAGGAAAGGCTTTGCAGGCATCCCCTCCCCTCTCTCCACAGCCTCCCGTGCCCACTCTTTGTCTGCCTGTCCCTCCGCAGCTGCTGCCGTATCACATCTCACATTTTCCAGCCTGCTGAGCAGGGCTGGGAGCTGCTCTCCATCGCACGGCTCAGGGGCAAGGACACCCCCGGCACCTCCTCCCGCCCCAGGCTGCCACCCCGCGCGGGAGAAACGGCCCTTTTTGGGGAAATGCCTGGGATAACCCATTCGGGGGGCTCACAGCAGGTGCACAGAGCCCAGAACAGGGGCAAGAAGAGATCCCGGCACACTCAATACCCCCAGAACGCGAGGAGGAAAGCAGAGCCTCGCACAAATGGGGGCTGCAAACAGAAATGGGTGAAGTGTGCTCAAACAGGTCGGTTTTATTATGGCAGCCGAGGGAAGAGGGGACGTGAGCTGGCACTGCTGGAGCAATGCTGGGAAGCTCCCAAACCCAGCGTGCATCACACGGGCGTAGTAGCACCACACACGTCTGGCTCGTGCCAGAACGTCACCSAAGCCCTCCCACCCCCAAAAATCCTCATCTCGCTCTAAATACGCACTGGGCTTTAGCTGGTGTCGATGAATACGTGAAAAAAATATTCATTTGCAGCTATTTGGGTGAGTCCTAGGAAATAAGTCACCTTGGATAAGTCTGATTCATCCACACCCGAGKGGAGGGGAGCTGCATGGCAAGATGGGCAATGCCAATCCCTTGAGTTAGGGTTTTATTTTTGCCCTAAGTCCTGAAATGCCTGGATTTTTAGCACAGATGGCACGAGCCAGCACTCTGCTGCAGCCCAGCCCAGTTTCCAGCTCCTTGCTGGAGAAACTAGGCAAATCTCCCAACATTTTATGGAGCACAAGAGGCGTGTGCTCTGGGCTTCTGCCCAGCTGGAGCCAGGGTAGCACCCCAGCCATCCTCTGCTCCAGTGTCAGGAGAAGCTGGCCACAACACGGAAACACGGATATAAGCAGGATGCACATGTCAGGGAGGGCACACGAGTGCTGGCAAGGAAGGGACGATGCCACCAGCATCCCCATGGYCATTCTTGGTGCACACCTCCGCTCTTCACTGCTCCTGGCCAGGGGATTTCAGCTGCCACCCTTCCTGGCAGGTAAAACACTCCCACCCTGTGCTCCTGCAGCTTGCCAGGGAGGAGATCACGTGGAAATGGAGGAAGCGCTCGCTCTGTCCGCAGGAATGGCAGCGCTCGCACGCGTCTGCTTGGAAACCGGAGGGGCCTCGGCTGTATTTTTCCAGCTCCCAGTAAATCAAAGCCCTTAAGCTGTTGCTGCTAATTCTGGCAGGAGTTGGGACACCAGCTGTGAACCAGGGGTTTGCTCATGGATAAAGAGCCTGATCGAGTATCTTTGGGCTCTTCACTCAGTGCCCACCTCGAGAGGTGCAATCCCRACACTTTCACACTTTTTCGGACACTCTGCACTTTTTCAGGCAGAATGGAGGACAGCTGGCCTGACTTCCAACTGCTGCACCCAGAGAGCAGCGGRGGAGCCCTGGTACCCAGCCCTGAGCTCCCCAGCAGGGACTGCCCAAAGCTCCASCCTGAAGCAGAGCAGAGGGTACAAAACGCCTGCAGCCTCCCAGGACATGGTGGGTGCTGGTGCCCACCCTGCCCAGGTGCATCAGGCTGATGTGTGACCAGAGGTGGGACAGCTCTGTGTCCCTGTCCCCTCGCAGTCTGCCCTGGCTTAACCATGCCCCCATGAACCGGGCAGACCCGGAAAAAGGCCCCAGGGAGCRCAGGAAGCAGCGGGAAGAAGAGAGCTGGAAAATGTCCCCAGGGTCTGGCAGCAGCAGGCAGGGAGCGCAGCAGGGAGCCGTGCCCAGCTGCCAGGCCGTGCCCAGCTGCACAGGGTCACATTGTGCCACATTGTCCCAGGACACCAAACTGGGCTGAGCACATCCATGCCATGCTGGGCTGTGCCAGCCTGGGCTGTGCCAAGCCTTGCCATGCTGAGCTGGAACCATGCTAGGCTTGGCCATGCTGCACCCATCTGTGCTGTGCCAGGCTGAGCTGGCCCGTGTTGTCCCAAAGGCTGTCCTGTGCCAAGCCATGCCATGGAACACTGAGCTGAGCAGAGTCCAGCCATGCCACACCACGCTGGACTGTGCCCAGGCTCAGCTATTCCCTATGTCTGGCGTGGCCACACCAGGCTCAGACAAGCCAGGCCCATCACCCAGCCATTCCATGCTGTGCCAAGACAAGCCCAGCCACACCGTGCCAGGCCATCCCTGGCTGTGCCATGTTCAGGGATGCCGTGATGGGCTGAGCCATGCCAAGCCCTGCAGCCGGCCAGGCTGTGCTGTGCTGTGTTGTGCTGCCCAACTGAGCCAGGCCAGGCTGAGCTGAGCTGTGCCCTGTACCCAGCCGTGCCCTGGGATGCTGAACTGTACCACACCCCGTGCCAGAGGGTGCTGTGCCACACCGAGCAGCACCTTGGGGTGCAGTGCCGTGCCATGCTATTCCCACGGATGCTGTGTCATGCTGAGCCATGCTTTGGGATACCACGCTGTGCCATGCCATGCCATGCCATTGCCAGGGATGCTGTGCCACGCTGTACCGTGCACACGGATGCCACGCTGCGATCACAAGGGATGCTGTGTTGTGCCCAGGAATGCTAAGCCATGCTGACCCTTGCCCTGGGATCCCACACCATGCCATGATAAGGCCAGGGATGCCGCACCATGCTGAGCTATGCCCTCAGATGCCCTGAAAAGCTCTAGGATGTTAAAACTACGCTACGACCAGGGATGCTGACCGTGGCTGACCCATGCCCTGGGATGCCACGCTGTGCCACGCTACTGCCCAGGTATACCGTGCCACACACGGAGCCGTGCCAGGGCTGTCCCGCCGCGCCACGCCGTGCCCACCTTGAGATAGTCGTTCTCGGAGCGCAGGTCCTCCAGCTCGCGGAGCAGCCCGTCGGTGCCGGCGTCCAGCAGCTCCTCGGTGAGGTCGGAGAAGGCGAGCGAGGTGCTGAGCTGCAGGCGGCTGCTGGCCATGGAGGCGGCCGAGGGCTCCTCGGGCAGCGGCGACGCCTCTCCGGCCGASGGCGGCGGCGGCGGGGCGCTGCCCGGGGACTCGCCATCGCTGCCGCTCAGCCCCAGCTCCAGCGACAGCAGCTTCGCCTCCTCCGAGGCGCTGCAGTCCGACACCTCCGAGCTGCTGTCGGTCAGCCCGGCCCCCGGCCCGGGCCCGGGCACCGAGCGGGGCCCCGCCGCCGTCCTTCTCGCCCCGGGGGCCGCCGTGTCGGCTCCGTGCCGCCGGCCCTTCGGCCGCACCACGCCGCGCCCCGCCGGCCCCTTGCCGGCCACCCGGGCCCCCGGCGGGCCCCG